TTCCTCTCTGAGAAGAAGACCATCTCCTACCGAGGCTGCATGGCACAAATCTTCTTCTTCCACCTTCTGGGAGGTGGGACAGTCTTCTTCCTCTCAGTGATGGCCTATGACCGCTACATAGCCATCTCCCGGCCCCTCCACTACGTCTCCATCATGAACACCAGGCTGTGCATGGGGCTGGTGGTGGCTGCCTGGGTAGGAGGCTTTGCTCATTCCATTGTCCAGTTGTCTCTGATACTCCCATTGCCCTTCTGTGGCCCCAATGTCCTGGATAACTTCTACTGTGATGTCCCCCAAGTGCTGAGACTTGCCTGCACGGACACCTCCCTCCTGGAGCTCCTCATGATCTCCAACAGTGGGATGCTGGTCCTCATCTGGTTCCTCCTCCTTCTGGTCTCCTACACTGTCATCCTGGTGATGCTGAGGTCACACTCAGGGCAGGCAAGGAGGAAGGCGGCCTCCACCTGCACCACCCACATCATCGTGGTGTCTATGATCTTCATTCCCTGCATCTATATCTATTCCAGGCCCTTCAGTCCCTTTCCCTTGGACAAAGCTGTGTCCATCAGCTACACGGTCTTGACCCCCATGCTAAACCCCATGATCTACACGCTCAGGAACCAGGAGATGCAGGCAGCCATGAAGAGACTAGCAAAGCACATAGCGCTTACTAAAAGAGATGAGCTTTAAACAGATTGTCTTCCAATGGCAGATTTCTCTGGACTTGTGCTACCCTGGGAAAAAAAAGCAGAGTTAAGTCCTTATACATAATAACCAGGCCAGGGTTGGGGGAAGTTCAGCTGGTGAAATATTTTCCTTGAGAACATCAAGGCCTGGATTTGATCCACAGAACTCCCGTGGGTAATCCCAGGCATAGCAATACCTGCTGAGAATCCCAAAACTGGAGAGCTGAAGAGAAGGGGACCCTGGGGATCACTGGCCAGTCAGCCCTGGGGATGTCAGGGCAAGTGAGATACTCTGTCTAAAAAACCCAACCTGTTGCAGTAGTTACCTGCTCTGTGCTACCGATGGGTCACATGCATAGACCCGCCCAAGAGCTATCTGGATTCACTAATAAAAGACGCACATTCCGGTTAATTTTATTATTTATGCCTTAACTAGCTTAATGGCTGGACACTCTTAATCCTTCCCATGACCATCAAACACTCCCCTCCAGTATTCTGGAGTGAACATCCTTTAAACTGTATATCACATCTCTGCTCCCCAAAACTCAGGTGGAGGAAATGGCCACTAGAGCCACTTCCCGAATTCGTACATGGCTGGTCCGTCCTCCTACAGCCCTCTCATGGTGATTCTGCCTCCTTCCTCTCTCCTGGTTCTCGCTCGAGCAAATCTCCAAGTCTTACCTCAGTCTACCTGTCCATCCATTGGCCAATGGCTCTTTATTGATCAACTAAAAAACAACTGGGGACAAGGACCTTCAGCATTTGGACACACAGATTCCCATTTTTGGGGGCTGGATTAATTCAAAGCATTAGAACCAATCCTCAACAGAAACCCTTACAGATGCTATCTGAGGAACAGTTTCTGAGCTTGCCCTCTGGGCTTGACATGAACTGATCCCCCATCCCCTCCGTCTCTTTCTCTCTCTGACTGACTCCCCCCATACCCCTCCCCTCTCTCTCACAAACACAAACACCAACAAATCAGATTACAGTAATGATGATCTACTCCTGTGTGAGGCACTGTTAGATACTTCTATACTTTATATTAAAGCATGACAGATAAGGAAGCTCAGAATATGGTTATTTTTACAAGGCAGAAGCAGTGGAATGATAGAACTTGGTTTCATCAACTCCAAGGTTAGAGGCACAGGTGTGACCTCCAACTGGAGTGAGAACTTTTAGCTACCTAGAGACACAGACACTCCTCAGAAAATCTCTCTGTGCCTTTACCTGCATCTGACAGACACAAGAGTTTCTATTTTTTTCCCAAGGCTCTGGCACCTGGTTTTTATTACTTTATAGTTGTATATTTGTTCACTGTGGCAAACACACCCTTTTGCAAAACTCTCAGTATAAGTTGACGGTAAATTCAGAGCACAATGCAGGAGTTTCCCCTACTTCCCTTCAGCATCACCCCCACTAAGACCTGAACATCACAGGCTTCTCTTGATCTCTCTGCACCAAGATGGCTGCCCTGAGTCTGTTCTGTCTCTGTTTTTTCTTTCCTGTTTCTTCCCATAGTCACAGGCACACTTTCTACACCAGAGGAGGGGACATGGACCTGTGTGACCTTGACCATCTCACACAGTTCCCCCTTCTCTCGAAAATCTGTCTCCTGGTGCTGTTCACATCCTCCACATCAGCTCTTGTCTAGGCTCAGCATCCTTCGGTCCTCACGTTGGTTTCTTTATCACAACCTCCTGACTTTAGCATCCTGGGCAAATCTGTCTTCATTGCTGTATGACAACATTCCCTCTCAAAACATGGCACTTACTGTGTGATCCTTCTGCACGTGTGTGTGTGTGTGTGTGTGTGTGAAATGTTCAGAAAGCATTGACCATTGCCTCTGAATTCTGTACCAACAACTTGTGAAGTCTGTATCAGTGAGATGTCTTTGTCTGCCAGCAGCTGATTAAGCCAATGAGAGCAGCTCAAGTAAGGAGGAAAGCTCTGTCTCAGATGGAAGACCTGGGACAAGCACTTTCCAGTTGGTTAATTCAGCACATCAAAAAAACCAAATGTTACAGCTCAGCATTGTCTTCTTGGTGATGCCTTACTCTCCTCTCATGCAGGATGTGGCTGCCAGCGCTCTGGATGTTACAGATTCACATTTAAGCCATCTAGTGAGACAAAATAAAAGAGAGATGCATGAAAGTTATTTTTTCTTTGTGCATGGGTGTGTGCATGTGTGTGTGTGGCGGGGGTGGGGGGAAGGAAATCCCCTAGAACTGCCTCATTAGAATTCTTCCAGGATGCAATTGGCCAGCTCTGCAGTCACATCAGTCTGTACGGAAAAGGACAGAGGAATGTCTACGTTTCTTCCAGGTCCAACAACAGCGTCTGCATGTGGTAGTGACTGACAACAGGGAGAGACCCAGTTGTCTTGAGTAACAAATCCTGACCCTGAGAAGGAAGCTCTACTGTGAACAGGGGTCACTCATTCATGTGCCTGGTGAAGCCAACAGGTAGTAAGGCCAGCCGGGAGGACTGGTCAGCTGCTGAGAACTCATACAGCCGAGAGAGGGTATCCGTCTAGACATCCCTGAGACATGAATGATAACAGAGCATTGTATCTAAAGATATTAAAAAACCAAAATGTACACTTTCAATGGGACACCCAGGAAGCTTCTCACAAAACAACATACACATTCCCGAGCCCTGATCAAACACAGCAGCCAGTGTGAGTTTAGTTTGAGTTCTGGCAGTGATGCTCAACCTTGAATCATCAGGCACATGAAGAAGTCTTCCTCTACCAGGTAGAAGACATTTTCTGCACTGGGGGCCATTATGATGAGCAGGTATGTGTTGGAGAGATGGGAGAGAAAGAGATGCAGAATGGTGTGTGCACTGAAGAGAGGGGGAACTGGTTGGTGAGGAACAGGTTCATGTGAGTAGCCTGCTCTGCCACCTGAGGCCATGGCTCTACCTCAAATCTTGCCTGGGCAGTACCATAAAGCTGGTTCTAGTGGCATGATGAAGGCCTGCCTGCCCACGTGTGTGTGACTGAGAGAGCAGGTACTGCCCTTCACCTGGGCAGAGGCAGAGCGCTGGCTCGGGTGTTGTAGAGCTGGAGGGCTCACCAGCTCAGCTCCCACCTGGGTCCAGATCCAGGGCTCTGAGTTGGCCCTCCCCAACATCCACCCCATCTATGATCGCTGGAGCACATGAAAGATTATTCATGGGGACATGGGTGTCTACAAAACTGAGAGGCTCTCCCAGGGATGGGTGACGACTCATCAAAACTGAGTCTGTGTACATTGCTACCCA